CACAAAAGAAGCCCACCACTAGAGCCATCTGGGGGTTCAAAATACCAGTTATCAACCAGTTTAAGTTTTCTACAAACCGAGAATACAAATTTTTGGTTTTCTTTTAACTTCTGAAAGAAAAAAGAAATCCGGGAGGTGAGCCCTTAGAGTCTCTCGGATTTGGGAAATTGTAGAGGGCCCTCCCAGACCTCTACAATTCCACACCGAGACTCTCATTTGGAACTTTGGGCCCATTTTTGGCTGGCTGCCCCCACCTTATTAGATTGGTCAGAGTGTTGGTCATTATCACAAGAAGTAAGATAAAGAAGTTTGCATTTTTTGCTATCTGGGGAAGGGATGTCTGTGAGAGGATTTTCTTCTTCCAAAAGAGGCCTTTTCTTATTGAGTGAGAGGGGGCAGTCTTGGTTCATAATTTCAACATCAACAAGCAGAGACCCTCGGGAATTAGCCCTGGTTTTCTTGGAGGATTTAATTGGTTTTTTGCCTCTCTTCTTTGAAGGAACTTGGGTGCTGAGGGAGGGGAGAGTAGGAATTGTGATTGGTGTGTCTGATTGGATTGGTATGTCTGAGAGTTGGAGATGGGGTGGTTTATTTAGGATGATTTGGTTCGGAGGAGTTGAGAACTCGATTGGCATAGGGTCAATATGATTGTTTGAGTTATCACTGGGATTGATGAAAATAGGGCCACAGAAGTTTAAATTGGGGGCTTGTTCAGAAGATGTATTTTTTGGAGAGGAGGGCTGGGCTAATTTATTAGAATCCCCAATTTCACTGGTTTTACCTGGACTGGTAGTTTTTGTCGAGTCTTCGTTGGATTGATTAAAGACTCAGGACCAGTGGAAGCTGCCTGAACTTGCTTTGATCCATTCCCCATACTGTCTAGGACGGTGCTTGTTGTTCTTAATATCCTCTCTCTTGTGGCAGCAGTTTCTCTCGCTATGGCCGATTCTTCCACAGTAATAGCAAAATGCTTGGAGGTTTTCGTATCTAAAGCTCACCCATACTGATTCCTGGCCCACCTTTATGTTTGCACCCCTTAACAGTGGCTCATTGAGATTGACGCTTACCAGGATTTTTAACCAGCGACCAGAGATGCTTCCCGATTCAGGCACAAAGACGTCAGAAACTTTTCTGAACATTTTGCCTATTTTAATCCCCGTGTCAGCCGAGATCCAGTGCAGAGGCAACCCATGGATTTGGACCCCTAGATCGATTTGTTCCTCCTCGTTCCACTGAATACTTGTAGATGACCATTCCTTTAGAAGGATGTACTGCCCGTCAAAGCTCCACGATTTACCTGTTAAAATTTTGTACTTGTCTTCTTCAGATTGAAAGACAAATTGGAAAGTGTTCTGGCCCACTAGGCGGG